TTTGATCGAATTGACTACTCTATAAAAAAGTCTCATTTAAACTCTGGTAAAGTAATCTACGAAGAAAACTAGGATTTTTTTAATTTGGAAATTATCTACCTTTTTAGAATGCCTCTCCCCTTAATCTTTTCATATAATACAAGAATGTCTATATGTTTAACAGGTTCAGAAATCATGTTATTTTGAACGGCATACATTTCCTCAATTTGCATTTTTTTGGTCAAAAAGGCCAAATTCAATATATCTTTAAAGTGCAATCTAATTTAAACAAGCTAATTCAGAGAATTCGGGTCCCCTGCGTATGGAAAAAGTCGGATCCCCCTGACTGAATTTTAGAATTATTAAATGTATACATGACTGTATACTGAAACAAATAAAATACATGTATGTCAATATGCATATAAAAAATTGATCGCTTATTCTTTATTATGTGTTTATAAGAATCTTTTTATATGGAATACTTATCACTCTGTAATGATGATTTTATGAGTTTGTACAAGACAGACCTCATATTTTTTTTCATTTCACACGCTAATAAAATAAAAAGAAAATAGATCGTTCTGGATTCGAACCCCGGGCCTCTCACGTGCGAAGCGAGTGACATACCACTAGACCACTGAACTACTTAACACTAACCAATATATTTACAAATATGAAGTCACATACATGTACATGTATTTATATGTTAACGCTCGATATTGTCAAAATTTTACACAATGCATGGTGTCTAATTTAACGTTTATTAAACAGTTCTTATGCATAAGAATATAAAGTCCGCCGAGAACCTGTTTTATACGTAAATAACTCTCCTCGTGCCCCTGTGCTAAAAATAACGACATGTAATACAATAAATACTAATAAAACGGGAGGTCCTAGGGAGTTTTGGTATAAAATTACTTTGCAGCAGCTCAAAATCCTCTTGAAATATCGCCCGGAAAGCATAGTGTTACACATAAACATAATGTATAAATTTACGACCTTCAACTTTTTGACCTCAAAATCAATAGGGGCCTTCCTTAGCCCACGGGGAGTTCTTTTGTAATTTCATCGCAAAAGCTCAAAGGGATCTCGATCTATCTCGCGAAAACGAAAGTATTATAACAGACAGAATTTGCAAATTTATAACATTGACCTTTGACCTTTTTTCCTCAAGATCAGTAAGGGTCTTCTTTAGTCCATAGGGAGTTGATATGCAAAATGTTATTGCAAAAGCTCAAAAGTTCTCGAGATATCGTTTGTAAAACGAAAGCGTTATAGACAGACAGAAAGACGGACGGACGGACAGACAAACAGACCCAAATTAATGTCTCCCACTTCTCAAGCGGGGGACAAATAGACCCTTTGTTATGGTATACTAAGCCGTATGTTACTGGATCACAAAGCCTTTGTGTTACGATCATATGTAAGCGGATCAAATATAAAAAAATGCATTGCAATCTGGATCACATATAAAGTTTCTAACACTTTCATGAATAGGTTCATAACAACACACACCTGTGATGCCAATTACATATGTATCATAAATGGAGACATATTGTTTCCAAAATGTTTTGGTAAAAATGCATGATATATGATTCATTACGCAAGATATTTCAAAGGTATTTCAAATGAATATCAATTTTGCTATGGCTTACTTTTATGAATTTAAATCCTTCTCTATAATCCGTCTATGATCTGTAGCCTGCTTGGCGCAGTGGAAAAAGCGTCTGCTCTAGAGTCGCGAAGTAAGGAGTTTAATCTTTACATTGCGGGTTCGCATCTGACTGTGGGACGTAGAGACCGGTCCTTCGGATGAGACCGTATGAACTGTCGCAGCAGGTATTGGATCGAAAAAAGATCCCTCACTGCTCAATGGCCCTGAGTGCTGAGTATAGGTCAAAATTTGTAGCTCTCCACCGGCAAATGGTGGCGTCTCCATATGAGTGGAAAATTCTCGAGAGGGACGTTAAACAAGGAACAATCAATTAATATGATTTTATAACCTCAAACATGGTGATGATTTACGTAGGCAGTGTCTAATGTCCAATTGTTTATGATTATTTAATATAAAATATTGTTTTTAAAAAAAGCAGAAAATATAACACGAGTAGAAAAATGCACTCTTATTACACTTTACGTCTGAAAAATAACTTAATATTAATCGGTCTTGAAATACTCGGCTAAGTTAATAAAATTCATTTTTGTACCAATATAATAGTTTTTCTATATTTTTATAGAATTTTGAATTTGAATATAAAATGAAATTATAAAAATAAAAAAGAATAAATACTTCAATAAAAGTGTCCGGATTTAATTTATTAAACATGAATAAGTACACGATTAAGTCGTCAAATATTACGCATCCAAAATATTTGTATAAGTAAATTACTTTCAAAAGATTAAATTTTCAAAATGCCTTCAACTTCAAAAATAAGTTTCAACTTTGTGTCTGTGTTGTTCAAAGCAATGTTTGTACATTTTTTCTTTAGCAGAGATACAATAAATTTAATGTGCTGAGATCAAGGGGTCTGCTTGAGACCCCGACTGAGAGTTATATTATAAAAATATTTTTACTTCATTATCTTCTAGCCCCATATCTGGTAGTTTTATCATAATACACGATTGCAAATTATAGCACTTGAAAGCTGTTATTCTTGTCTAAAGCATGATACTTTACCATTATTTGTTATTATATCAGTTGCTTCTTTATGGATAAAATTTTAGCCATTCGCAAAAGTTTAGACGATTTTGAAAAATTTGACCCAAACTTCGGACTCAAATGTACACAAGAGTTTAATACCTTTGATCCTGTTTCAGATGAGGATGTTTTACGTGTGATTAAAAGTTCTAAGCCCACTACCTGCCCAACTGACCCTATCCCGTCAAAATTAATAAAACAATTTTCTGATGTGATATTGCCAACAATTGTTGTCATAGTTAATAAATCACTAACATCTGGTTTATTCGCTAATGAATGAAAACTGCTGTAGTTCGACCCCTGTTGAAAAAAAGCGGTTTAGATGTGATTTTGAAAAACTACCGTCCTGTAAGTAATTTAAGTTTTATATCAAAAATTGTAGAAAAATGTGCTCTGAACCAATTTACGAAATATCTCGAATCAAACAGATTACTACCTAGCTATCAAAGTGCATATAGAAGAGGGTTCAGTACCGAAACAGCTCTCCTGAAACTGTCATCAGACATTCTGTGGAAAATGGAAAAACAGGAAATTACTGCTTTAGTCGCATTGGATCTCTCTGCTGCATTCGACACAATCGACCATGCCATACTTAGCAACGTGTTAGAAACTACTTTCGGAGTATCTGAAGTGGCTCTTCATTGGTTTCAATCGTACCTTTCATTCAGGAAAGCCGAAGTGCATATCAACGCGTCTAAATCACAGCCTAGATGTCTGAACTTCTCGGTACCGCAAGGCAGCATATGCGGACCTGTGTTATATACCGTGTACGCGAGTACGCTCCAACATTACATCAAAGATTCGGGTGTGTCATTATTAGGTTACGCAGATGACCACTCTGCATACGACAGTTTTAATCCGAAGAGTTTCGCTGATGAGAAACGTGTAACAACAAATTTAGAAAAAGTGTTGGTTACCATCAATGACTGGATGAATCTGAACAAACTAAAACTTAACCCCAGTAAAACTGAATTTGTACTATTTGGCAGTCAACAAATGTTATCTCTATCATCTTCCATTTCCCTTAATGTAGTGGATACGGTTGTAAATTCATCTCCTTGCATCAAATATCTTGGATGTTATCTGGACGAAAATTTTACTTTCAAAAAATTTATCAGTGAAAAAAGCAAAACAATTTCATTGAATTTGTTCTTGATTAAACAAATTCGCCAATATCTTAGTGATGATTCGTGTAAACAAATTGTACAGTCCCTTGTTACTAGCCATTCAGATTATGCAAATAGTGTCTTGTATGGATTGCCAGAGTGTACCATTAAAAGACTACAGTTGTTGCAAAATCGTGCTGCAAAGCTTGTGTTGAAGCTGAGGTCTACGGATAGCTCTACTGAAGCACTCAAACGACTACACTGGCTACCGGTACACTACCGCATTAAATTCAAACTTGCATGCATTGTCTTCAAGTGCATTAACGACAGTGACAGCCCACATTATCTTAAAGAAATGCTCAGTTTACGAACATCATCATATGGCATTCGATCCGTAAATCCTGCAGCGAAAACATTGAACGTCCCGTTCGTAAGACGCAAAACTTTTGCCTCTAGGTCTTTCGCGGTAGCTGGACCTTCGATTTGGAATGACTTGCCAACGAACGTTCGAATGTTAACTGATTACTATATTTTTAAACGACATCTCAAGGCGTTCTACTACACCTGTGCTTTTAAATAACATTTAATTGTGAACACTAGTATATTTTATTTAAACAGCCAGTGGACATTTAGACTTTATTTGATATTTTAACAAATGCATTGTTTTTTATCATATGTATATATGCTATTGTATGTACAGCGTCATTGATTGCATACTATATGTAAAATTGAGCGCTTTAACAAATTTTAATAATAATAATAATATTTATTATCTCTTTTGCAGAAATGATGGAAAAGAGTGCTCGAGGGAAAAGAGGTTTGTTTTAAGGCAGTGTTAAATTTTATCTGATGCCTTGTATTGTAAAAGGCCATATAGCCATAGAATCCACTTATTTTGTTAGAAGTCATTCATCTCCATAACAGAAATGTGTTTGTATTGTAGATTCCTATATATATATACAAATCTATATACTTGCATGCGAGACATTAAAATAGCAATACAATAATATTTATTACAATATAGTATATAGGACATACATTTTATTAGCATTTAGTAAATAATGATACTTATTTTTAAAATAGATTTAAATTTTTCAAACATCTAACAAAACGAAAAACAAAAGTAAATTAAGCTTTTATTTTTTAATGTTTATATTTACATAATTATTTATTTTGACATTTCTGTTTATTATAGTTGTGTGTCTTGTCACGTGACTCCCGTCCGTTATACAGACGTCTACCATTACCATACCCGATGTTAATGATATTAATTTAATCTCTTGTGAAACATCAGACATATTCTGGGTGAGTGGTCTATCTGAACTTCTAAAGGTGGATTCCAGAGGAAATGTTCTAATACGTCTTGATGTTGGATTAAGTGAAATTTCCACTAACACAGATGGAGAGCTAATGTTTACAGAGGGAAATTATGTTAAAAAATTAGAGTCAAATGGAATCATCACCACACTTTTCTCAACAAACGATAATATAAATTGTATCTACTCCTCCCGCATCACCGGCGACATACTGTTAGGGTTATATAATACTGTATTATATACCAGTAAAGTAACTAGGTACGACAAGACGGGACAGAAGATCCTGGATATTGAGGAGGACAACCAAGGAGTGAAGCTATATGATTGGCCTAGCTACATCACAGAGAACAGGAACGGAGATATCTGGACATCTGATACAGTTAAAGTGGTGGTGGTAAATAAATCAGGAAAACATCGGTTTAACTACATAGGTCATCCGTCGCATTACTTTAATCCCAAAGGTATCTGTACTGATATACTGGGACACGTACTGGTGTGTGATTGTTCTCCCTCCGACGCCGGTGTTCATCTCCTGGATCAGGACGGTCGGTTCCTATCTCTGCTGCTGACTAAAGAACATAATGTACATAGACCACAAACTATGTGTGTGGACGACAAGCACAACCTCTATTTGGGACAGAGTTTCATTACCATAATAAGAGTGTACAAATATCTTCACGTCTCAGAGAAATAGAAAGTTCCGAATGCTTTAAAAAATGTATTTAAAAAAGATAGAAATTGTACATAATAATATTTCATTTGAATTGTCAGAAATATTAAAAGAGCTTATCTGGTTTGTTTCATGAAATTATCGATATATTTTATGAAAATAGATATGAAAGGAACTTGTCCAGTGTGTTGCATGAATGTATGAATATATATAAATACTTTTATAATCATATCTTTTCTTATAAATATTCATATAAACTTGTGTCATTTTGTTTCCGAGTTCTTAAAATAAAAGATAAGAGACTTGTTACTAGCTGAAATCCCGCGCAAGTGAGGAAAAAAGTCATGCAGCTTTTTTTACTGTTAACAAAACTATTCCAAAACTATCTATCAGATTCTACTTCTACAAATTTCAATTTCATTAAAGGTCTCTTTATCTTATAAGAGACTTGTTACTAGCTGAAATCCCGCGCAAGCGAGGAAAAAAGTCATGCAGCTTTTTTTTACTGTTAACAAAACTATTCCAAAACTATCTATCAGATTCTACTTCTACAAATTTCAATTTCATTAAAGGCCTCTTTATCTTATATGTTTCAAATTTAAAGCAATTACGGGTGCTTATTGACATTTTCTCTCCTTGGAAACTTTGTTTATTGGTTTGTATTCTCAGCCTCGATCCGAGTTCGTCACTATTTTTTTAAAATAATTTAATTTTGTATTCTAGTCTCTCATTGGTTTATTTCCAAAAAGGAACGCAAATTATTTCTTAATAACCTGGTTTGGTATGGGTACACACCCCCTTAACAACCAGCTGAATCATCTGTATCCATGTAAACCTCTCATTTCCAGTCCTTGGGACTCATGGAAAATTCAGATTTAATAAATGTTCCTTTAACTTCAAACAGTGGCTCGATCTTTCCTCATTTTAACAAACATCATGGCTGCTAGGTCTGCGTATCAATTATTACCTCCCCTTGTTTCATATCACTTCCATTACTAGGGATGTATTATTGATCAGCAAATTTGAACTCATAAAAAGCAGCACGATTTTACACCCACAGTTGTTGAATTATTTTAAAATTAAATAATAAGAAATGAACCTAATTCTCGGCCAAATTAATCGATTATAACCTGGTTTGGGTCAGTTTACACTTTTTTATAATCCGCTAAGCTCAAAAGTCAATAAATCAAAATTAAATGGGAGCAGAGGAAACACAGATCTCCAAAACAGAAGAGGTTCTCTGACAAGGTCATTGTATCCACCATAGAACATACGAAATGATGACATTAAACAAGACTGCTTGTATAATTTCGTTTCATCAACTTGTTTTTAACTAATTTACCTCGTTTTAGAATAACATAGAGCATGCTCTTGCAAATTAACTGTGATATATTATACAATTATTGACTTTTGATGAGGTCTACTCGTGAATATACGGACCTGGTCAGGTATTAGTTGACCGAGGCCAAAGGCCTGCGGCCTTAACAGGATTTGATCACGTACCACCCACTTTAATTCCAATTGAAGTTTATTAACTTGTTATTTATTTCTTAAGTAAAATATCCAAATATGAAACAGATTTGTCAGATTCTTTGGTATCTTTTAACTCCAGCTCAACGTGTAATACATGTATAGTATGGACATAAGAATGGACTTTACCATTGGTAATTGACAATACATTGTCGAAACGTCCAGTTGAGGGCCACGGCAATTTTTTCTCCTTTTTTTCACGTATAAGATTTTGGACACATTTTGCTTCATATGAATACAGAAATAGGTTTGGTAAGAACGGGACAATTGGTACCCATGGGATTTCTAATAGATTGTCAGAGGAACCGGTCTGCAAAAACCATATAGATATTGTCAATCAGAAATTCATGCATCTTTTTATGTCAACGTGAACGTATTCTGTGTTTAATCAGTATGATTATTAACCATAAACCGTTTTGATATGTAAAATATGACGACTATTTTACTCGTAATTAAATGTGTTCTAACTGTTTAATCGTGCCTTACTATTTTTTCGCTGTTATGTTTTAAGAGTGTTTTATATTTATTTACTCTAAAATAAAATTGCTTAATGAGTATCGTTCGTACGACACTTTTTCACAAAGCAGGTGCTAGAGAATCCATACGACGAAATTTCATAGTGATCCCATAAGTTGTTGACTGTTGAAGTTTGAAAGAAAAATAATCATGGTTTTAAAAACATGGTACATGTATACTCAATTCGTATGATACCGGTGGTTCTAAGGTACTGGGATTTTTTGATTGTCATCTCTTGCATTCAAAAAACGACACCTAGTCGCCGGCTATTTTTAGACATCAGAAGTGATACTCTGCTGTCAAGCTCTATATCTAATTTATTTATGAAATGCTAAGTTTTTGTTAAGTAAACAACTATTTTCCACAATACCCGTAAGTTTCTGTATTATTTTGCAAGACATGTCACACCAGACTCTCGTAAATTGTTAAAACAGCTATATTATAAACCATTTTCCCAAGAAATTCTTCGATGAGCTTATGCGCTGTTTTGGTATTACTTTCAGAAAGTGATATCACCTATACAAATAAGAGATATCACTCATTCAAATTGAATAGATGATATCATCTATTCGAAAAGGTGATATCACTTTTCGGATTGTGATATCACCTATTAGAAATAAATAGGTGATATAACCTATTCGTTCTGAATAGCCTATAGTGGATATCACCTATTGGAATAAGTAATATCATCATATTAACATATTTTGAAATAATAGATTTTAAAAGTTGCCAATAAAAAAATGATATCGTTATGTTTCCATCACGACGTCATGCCGTCAAGCACGACTTTTGTGGAATATCGTGTCATTTTTTAAGAGGCTCCTGACGAAAAACTAAAAGTGGTGTTGGAGAAAATGACACTGTTTTGGAAAATATGCATTATAGACACCTTTTGAAAAATCCCTTATCAGATTCAATCACAGGGCCGATTATAAATTATAAAGACTCTTCTTCTTTGAGAATATCTCCATAATTTTTCTCATGTTTTTATATAAGTCCTTTGTGCCCGTCATATTTTGTAGTACTGAATATAAACAGTTAACATCGTTAATTTTTTATGCAATTTGAGATGACCCCTCTGGTAAGAAGACGGTAGAATTTTGTGTTTCTTATATCTGTGGTATTATTATTACTAATCAAATATTATAGTTTAAACAAAAAGTCTATTGTAGTAGTTGTATAATTTGTTTAAAGTGCTAAAAATTGCCATTTGGGTACATCTTTTCGCAATTAGATTTTAAATGTTTAAAATCTCATATCAATAACACATGGGGCTTACGTAGTAAATCTGTACTTATCTGAACATTTGCTGACTCATGACGTCATTTCCTTCCCCAACTTTATCCGACAAACTTCCATGAAAAGTATCGATGATTTGAGTAAAAATAAAACAACAACACTTTTCTTCTAACAAATAACTAAAACAAAAAAAATTATAATCAATTATAGTATTTCCTTAACACTTTTTTTCATTTCTTTGATCTGGATCATCTCCTTACGGGTTGTCTGCGTTGTTTACAAACAGTGAAGACTGACAATTTACTCATAGCTAATTCTTATTATTGGGTAACAAATATAGAGTAGCTTTTTTAGAGTACAATAATTATAGCAGTTAAAAATATTTCTGTCAAATACAATATTTCTCTTTCTAAAAAATGCAATTTTATGGAAAACATTACCCACTTTAAAGATCAGACAGTTGATGGCAATGGTTTTTACAAAATGATTTTCAATATATGTAACGTTCCTGGAGATGGCAACTGCTTCTTTCATTGTTTAAGTCTTGCTCCCAATTGCAATTTTACAATGACAAATATTTACAGACAGACAATCTGTGAGCAAACACATGTATGCATACTTAAAAACTGGGATTGCTTTTGCAACAATATTGAACTTCAAGAATACACACCTTTGTCATATTTTCAAAGTTCGATTTAGTTAATGAATATGCTTCCTCTTGTGAAATTGAAGTTGCTGCTAAATTGTTTCTCTGTACATCAATGTCTTGCTTGAAAGCAAGAATAGTGACATTGTCATATATCCCATGTTCTTACAAAATTTGAAAATGACACCCTCACTCATGATCAGCCTATACATTTACTGTTATCAGCATTTTTAGTATTTAGAACCAAAATAAGAAATACCATTCTCGAATTTAACATCAAACAATGTTCCCACTATTGTTCAATCAGATCAAATATGTGGTCAAATCAACACAAAAAATCAACAAAAGCACTGCTTTTTGGGTCATGAGCATGAAAATGCATCAAATGACAATTCATGGGAATTAGATTCATGCTCCAATTTGCAGAATTCAACAAATTCCAATACAAGTGCACAAAAAAGCACAGCAAAAATCATGAAAAATGTCAGGAATAATATTTTTTCAGAACATACTTATGCAAGTAGGGAAGTAGAAATGAACATTCAAAACAGCAACATTAATGACCATTCTTATGCCCAGATGCACCATCAGCAAGTAACAGAAGTCAACACTGCAAATTACATTTCTAATTAGCATACTTATGCAAGCAAAACAATTCAATTCAATCAGTGTCAGTCAAGCCTGCCAGAGAGCCCCAACATTTTTCAACATCACGAAAAAACAGACACTCAAAATTCTTCCAATAAACAAACATCCTCATCAACCATTTCAGGTCCAGTTAGAATTCATGAATCAAATCAGGGCCCTATTTCCAAAACATCACTGCCTATGGACACAGCTCAAATTGTAAGTGATGCAACACATTTTAAAAAAGAAATGACAGCAAACTAATTTGAAAATAACTCATAATACAAGAAAAAGACAGGCTCAACGAAATCTACACGATCCTTCACCTACTACCCAAAAACAAAACAAAAGAGAAAAACATGCCTTTTTACCCCAACAGGAGAAAAAACTTCGAGAACGCTGCAGAAAATTTGGTGTGCCATATGAAATGCCAGCACAAAATTAAACATATCTTAAGTTGAGAAATAGAAAGCGAAACTGGCAAATTCAAAATAAAATGAATACATATAAAATCCAAGACAATGAAATCCCCCCTCCTCCTCCTTCTGAAGACAACCAACATTTTGATATGGCCATGGATTCAATAAGAGCATAAAATAAATGGCCTATTATTTTGAACTTTGTACAATATGTCCTGAAAGAAGA